ATTGTGTCGGCTACATTATTTTTCTTCCAAAAATAAATAAATAAAATATGATATCGAATTAAATATTATTTTTCAGCTCGTTTATGTGATACTCGAGTAAAGAATATTGAGCGATCCTACATTGGTTAGAGAGAGAAACAAAACATTTCTTAAAAACGTGTGAAAACTTCTCCCTAGCATATGTGTCTCAAAACCGTGAGACTGACAACAATATATAACAGGCCAACACGAACAATATCTACTAGCGGTGAGCTTGAGCTGTTTCATATGGTAGTAGAGTCAATCACCAGACTGTGCGAAGTAGACGTGTTTTAAAACTATGAACCTGACGATGATTCGTAACAGGCCAAAACAGACAATACGGCTAGTAGTGGGCTTGGGTTGAACAGACAATACGGCTAGTAGTGGGCTTGGGTTGTTTCAAATGATATCAGAGTCAGTCATTGGACGGAGCAAGGCACTGGTTGGAGTAGGGCTAGACCATCTCTATAGTAGACGCGTTTTAAAACTATGAGGCTAACGATGATACGTAACGGGCCAAAACAAACAATATTTGCTAGCAGTGGGCTTGAGCTGTTTCAAATGGTAGTAGAGCTAGTCATCGAACGATGCGAAACACTGGTCAAAGTAGGGCTAGACCCTCTCTATAGTAGACGTGTTTTAAAACTGTGAAGTTAACGATGATACATAACAGGCCAAAACGGACAATATCTATTAGTGGTGGGCTTGAGCTATTTCAAATGATAGCAGAGCCAGTCACCAGAGGGTGCGAAGCACTGATTGGAATAGGGCTACACCCTCTTCATAGTAGATGTGTTTTAAAAATATTATGCTGGCAACGATATGTAACAGGCCAAAACAGTAAATATCTGCCAGCAGTAGCCTTATGTTGTTTCAAATGGTATAAGAGTCAGTCACCGAATGGTGTGAAGCACTAATCGAAGTAGGGCTAAACCCTCTCCATAGTAGACATGTTTTAAAACTGTGAGACTGACGATGATTCATAACGGACCAAAACGGATAATATCTACTAACGGTAGACTTGAGCTGTTATAAATAACCGATACCACATTCAAATGAGAGCAATCTTGAGGATGAAATTACTAAGAAAGGCTTAAAAAAATTTAAGTAATTATTTATACCAACATGGTGCACTTTTCTTTTCGGTAGCTCAATTATAAAGACTCTTAATTTAAGCATGTTTTGCTCGGCTTTTGGGAATCTTCTTAAAAAACATATAAGTGAACAAACATAATCAGGGACGTGACCATATCGCAAGAGATTATTCGAGATCATTGATTAAAATAATATCCAAATCATTTGATTCGATTAAAACACAATTGCTCAATAATAAACTGAATAATTATATTTATTAATTTGAAATTATAGATTTAATAATGTTGTGTGTGGAAGCCACGTGCAAGAAAATAATAATAATATTATTATTATTAAATAAATAAACTCAAAAGGTATTTTGGTTACCGCAGGTAGGGCCCACAAATCTTAGTCCAAAACAAAATAGTATTATTGTCTAATGAGCTGGATTATGATTTGCCACCTGTAATGTGGGTCCCATTTTCTATATTTGGGGCATCAAATCTGACGTTCGTTGGAAAGCATTAAATGTCCAATTTCCAAACAAAAATATATATATTATATACATTTTTTACACTTAAAATGTTTGATTAATAATTTTAATATTTTTAAAAAGTTTTAAAATATTAAAATATTATCTTAATAAAAGTTTTTAAAAAATTATTATCAAAACCATGATTTTTTAATTTTTTTTTAAAGGTTTAAAGTTTTAATTTTTATTTTTTAAATAATAACTAAACTTTTAAAAACTCAATCACAAAATCCACATTGTATCTTAGTTGTTGATTGAAGTGCGAGGTTGGTGCCCTCGTGTTCATGCTATTAGGTTATCTTTGGAGACTATTAGAGAGTCGTTAACTAATCTCGAGTATTGTACTGTTTAGATTCATAGTGATATGAACCTCGAGACATCAATCATTCAATATACTTCAATGAAGATATGAAGAAAATGTTGTTGAAATTATCAAAAGATATTTCGATTCATGTCACGTTAAAGAAGAATTAAGTTTCATTGTTATAAATTTTGGATGAATTACAATTTAGAGTAATTTGGAATTATTGTATTTCATTAATATATTTTAAGATTTTTTATTTACTTTAGGCTACTTTTGGAATGCTTTAGTAGTGTCATTTTAAGGCTGTATAAAGTCATGTACGTTGTATTTACAAGTAGACTTGGACAATATAGTAAAAAAGCATATGTGATTTCCTTTAGCCCGTGGTTACGTTTATTTGCAATTTCATGTAGTTTAGGCTGCATGTAGAATTATTTAAGCTCGACATGTTCAATATTGCTTGTGCAGTGATTCGAATCTCAAACAAGTGTTTTTGCCTTGAAATATTCGATCAACAAGATAATCTGACTCTTACTCCCCTTGTGATTTCCATATCACATACAATTTACATGGTAACTTAATAGCTGGTTCATCCTTGGAATTACGTTCTATATGTTTAGTATAGTTCTCGTGTGATGGTAGGAAGTAGCTAATAAAAAATCTAAACGAGATACTAAGATCAAGACAGATAAATAATCAAATCATAGGAATTAACCCGTAATTAGAGGCTCGGTCATTTTATGAGTAATTATGACGGAAGTGGATTACTTATTAAATATTTCTATATTAAAAAATGTATGAATTTTTTTAATCGAATTTTAATTTATATATTTGCAAAGGTTGAATTTTAAGTAAATGGAATTCTTCAATTATTTTTAATCAAAATTAATTAAATAATTATAATAAAAAAAATTGAACAGTTGGAAATAATAGTAATAATAATTTTGTTTTTATATTATTATTATTATTTTATTTTATTTTACACGTTCAAACAGACCAAACCAGTGGAGGTGGGACCCAACCAGATTTAATAGTGAAAACGACATGACGGAAACGGAGCCGTACAAGTTTGACACGACACGTCGTGCCCAGACAAAACTAAATGGCCAACACCCATGGCCTTTGTTGGATTGAATTTTTTTAACCAATCTAAAATGACTCGAACAACTCGAGTAGAGTGTGCAAACTAGTCCAATCATCTATATTCGAGTTCGGTTGAGTTCGATTTGATTGTCTAATCGAGTTATCTATAATATATGTTATGTTAATAATTAAAATCTTATAAAATTCAAATATCAAACATTTACGAATCATAACGTTTCACTATTATCGATTACAAATGTTAAATATTTTCAATCTTTTTAAAACTAGGCAGGGTTAAGTTGGACTGTAATCTTCTTTTCGAGTTGATCGGGTTGACCAGACCAAACAAATGTCAACCCGCAAACTGAACAAATTTTTTTGTTTTTTAAAAGTTCAACCCAACCCAAATTGGAGGGAAAAAAAATCTAACCCGACCCAACTTTTCAAACCATCTTTAAATCACACTTCGACCAGCACAAACCAAACTCAGTCCAAGAATAACTCCAAATAATACAAATCAAGAAACAAATCTCGAGGGATAGAGTCTACATGAATCTCTTCAACATACAAATCACCGGATCGAACAATATGACAAATCACGAAAGCGCAAGGTAGTTATATAGACACGAAAATTACGATATTTCCAACTATAATAGATAAAACGACATGCTGTTGGTCTTCCAAATCTTTCGTGACAGACAATTGCCACCACTAAAATAAAAAGTTGTAAACTTGTATAATTTTAAATTCACACGATAAAAAAAATTGTAAACTTGTATAATTTTAATAATATCAAGTTAGACACAAATTAACGATTAAATAATCTCGTCACAACTCGCAAATTTTAATAAAGACGTAGCTTTAATATCTTTTTCGTTTAAATTTAATCATTTACGTACCATGCTTATATTTTTTAATGATTTTTCAAATAAAAAAAAAACTAAAACTTAGAGTTGTTTATAATAACCTCGATAATTTGGCAACCAGGACTATTAGGGTTGGGTCGATTTTGTTTTCAACTTGAGCTTAGTTAAATTTTTAGAAAACTGAAATTTTAGGTCAGTTCATAGGTTAATATTTTTTTTGGTCAGATCAACCCAACTAATTTAAAAATAAGGTTACAATGAATGTTAAGAATATTTAACGTTTATAATCATATTAAAACCGATACTGATTCGTAGATAAATATGGTTTTTAAAAATAATTAAAAAAACATCCCGACGCCCAACTAATAAAAAAATGATCTTTTTTATATTAAATTTAATGAAATTTAATTAAAAAAAAAATCGTGAAGGAGAATTTTGTAATTATCCATTTTATCAATAATACATGCCACGTGGATTGCTTTATTTATCCTCTTAAAATGTAAAGTAGAAAGAGAAGGAATGATGTGGAAAAAGACAATGGAGGGTAAAATTCCTAAAATTATAAATATTCAACTTATTAATACTTTGGGTAAAAATTAAAAATCAACACAATTTTGGAAAATAAACTAACTTTTTCCCTAATAATTAGTTAGAGAATGTTTTTATTTCATCCCTTATTTGAAATAATAATAATAATAATAGTATTTTACTTAAAATTAATTTATATAAATACATATAATATTTGGCCGTAATATAGAGTTAAACTTAATGGCATGACTCTGACACTATGTTAGATGAATACGACTCTCCACAATGATATGATATTGTCCAGTTTAAGTGAGCTCTCATAGATTTGTTTTGGGCTTCCTCAATAGAGATAATATTTTTTAATTATAAATACTATAAGACTTTCATCCAACAATAACTTCTTAAATTTAAATAATATTGAATTCGAAATATTTTAATATTTAGAAATTTATTTAAAAAAACTTCTCACTATTGGATATTTTGAGACTAAAAAAAAAGAAAAAATTAGAATTATTAAATAATAATAATAATAATAATAATTTATTATTGCAGTTAGGTCCCTAATAAAGTATTAATTACATATAGCCGCTTCCCTTCTCCCTCCCCTATCCCCATCATCACCTTCTTCGTCTCTCTTTCTCTGTACTGTACACGTTCACTTCTCTCTCTTCTTTTTCTGCAACTGTTTCGCTAATGGACCTTCTCCACCGCCCACAGGTTCACCGCCGGCCTCTGTAACTGAAACCCCGCCCTCAAACTTCCATAATTTTGAACTCAACGCCGGCCGGATTGAATGGCCGTCGAATACGAATGCTGCACCCCTAATTTCTTCATCCATATACTCATCATCGTCCTCTTGGTCATCTTTGCCGGCTTAATGTCTGGCCTTACCCTCGGCCTCATGTCCATGAGCCTCGTCGATCTCGAAGTACTTGCTAGGTCCGGCACCCCTAAGGATCGCAAGCACGCCGGTAACTTCCTTTTTCTTTTACTCTTTGATTGTTCTTTGCTCTGCTTTGATTGTTATTTTATCCTTTTATCCATTTATTGTGTGGGGCTGATCGCCGTACCTTTTTCAATTTGCTTTTGTTTCCTCTCTTTTTCTTGGCGACTACTTCAGAGTTACTAATTCTTATGTTAATCTTATTTGTTATTCCCCTTTTCCCCTCTTTTTAATTGAGTATGTTATGTTGTTTACCTTGAATCCATTTGAGACTTCCCCTGTTTTCCTTAGTCGACCTTCGGATTCTTCGCCGATGGAATCATTTGAATCTGTTTTGGGTTATTGTAACGGCGGGGTGGAAGTCCTCCGCTAGCATATATTGTTCTGGATTTTCCGTTTGGCTTCTCCTACGCTGTTTCGAACCGATGTGAGTTCTCATAATCCACCCCTTCGAATCCTGCGTCTTTGCTGGCACTTGTTCCATAGGACCTCCCAAATCCATCCCATCGAGGTCCAGCGACCTTGACCTTGCTGGCACACTGCCTCATGTCCACCCCGTTCGGGCTCAGCCTCTTTGCTGACACATCGCCCCGTGTCTAGTTCTGATACCATTTGTATTTGTCTAACCCCACCTCTAGCCAATATCTTTGGGTTTTCCCTTTCGGGCTTTCCCTCAAGGTTTTTAAAACGCGAATGTTAGGGAGAGTTTCTATTTTCAAGTGCTACCTTGAAGCAGCGAAGAGTTGCCATGAGAAACCTGATAGTTTTATTGTTCTGTTTTGTGTCTTCATTTCTATCTCCATTGCTGGCTTGGGTCAAAGAAAGGTTTAGTATGACGTCTTTTCAATGTGCTTTCTATAAGTTCCCTGTCCTATTAAACGATGTATAAATCGACAAAATGTAACAGTGTCAAACTGTAGCTGGTAAGTTACGTACTGGTTTGGGATGTTCATGACTTTTTAAGATCTTAGACCCTAACGTGCAAGGGACTTTCTTCTTTTTGTTTCAGAAAGTCTTTGTATTGTTCTATCCGGCTAAAGTTATTGGTGTATTGAGTTTTGTTTTGTTCTTTCCCTTGACAATAATACTTTACAAATGAGGGTAATGGTGGGGGGATTCGAACCTCCGATCTTTAAGGAACGGTACTAAATGAGGGAACAATTAAAATTTTCTTTGACATTTGAGACGTGAATTAATTTATCACTAAAATGACCAATCCTCCAAGTTACTGTAGGATTGTGTTACCATAAAAAGGACATTGACATTTAAGTGTGTGAACTTATGATAAGAGATCTCAGCCTAAGATCTTTAGAAATGGTTTGTTTCTTCAACTTATATTGACCTTATTGAAAATGAAATTCTAGGGAACTTATATTGACCGAATCTTATTTGAGCAATATAGTTGTCGTTGACAAGCTTCAAAAGTCTTTACAAAAACAATGCTTGTTGCGAATTCAAGAGCTCAATCTATATTGTGAGATCCCACGTCAGTTGGAGAGGGGAACGAGGCATTCCTTATAAGGGTGTGGAAACCTCTCCTTAACATACGCGTTTTAAAATCGTGAGGCTGATAGTGATACGTAACAGGCTAAAGCGGACAATATCTGCTAGCGGTGGGCTTAGGCTGTTACAATATAAGGCATCAGCTACCATTCTAAATGTTGATGGTTCAGAGAAACGTGACTTTTACTTCTGTACTTCTGAATTCTGATGACCCTCTTATCTCTTTGTAATGCTTTTGTCTTTGAACTTCAATGTGAGTCTGGTATTGTGATTAAAACATCTCCTTACTAATTCAATTGGTTTTGTACAGCAAAGATATTGCCAGTAGTAAAAAACCAGCATTTATTGCTCTGCACCTTACTGATATGCAATGCGGCAGCCATGGAGGTACATTTTATTGAGATATAGTGGATAAGTATGAAGATGATTGACCAGAAACAGTAAATTCAGGGAAAAAATTGTTCAATATTTGATATAATTGTTCGTGCAGGCACTTCCTATATTCCTTGACAGTCTGGTTACAGCTTGGGGTGCTATCCTAATCTCGGTGACCTTGATTCTTCTATTTGGCGAGGTTAGAGCAATTATCTGGGAAATGGTTTTTTCTTTTCCAAGTTCCGATTTGTTCATCTTTTATATCGATAATTATTTGTAAGCTCACTCGAGGATTGGCCTGCGATTATGGATTTCAACGGTGTCGTTGATTCATACTGTAGACAATTAACCAGAGTTCACATGTTTCAGCTGGTACCAAATTTAAGGGGTAAATTTTATGATTAGCAATCTATTTACTTGATGTACAGATTATACCACAATCTGTTTGCTCTCGGTATGGTTTAGCGATTGGATCAACGGTTGCTCCTTTTGTCCGTGTTCTTGTCTGGATTTGCTTCCCTGTTGCATATCCAATCAGTAAGGTAGACATTTGAGGACTTGGGTTACATAAATTTACTACATTATTGTTCAAAATGGTTCCTTAGTTATGTTAAATGTGATTTCCAGCTACTAGACGTTCTACTGGGTCATGGGCGTGTGGCTCTTTTCCGAAGAGCTGAGCTGAAAACACTCGTCAATTTGCACGGTAATGAGGTATATACAAGGGTTTAATGCCTTTTGTTTAATTGTTTCTTTTGAATCTTATGTGTACTTTGCTTCTCTTTTCTGCTCTAATGTCTAAGGTTACCCTGTAATAGGCTGGAAAGGGTGGAGAATTGACACACGATGAAACCACTATTATTGCTGGAGCACTTGAACTGAGTGAGAAGACAGCTAGTGATGCCATGACTCCTATATCTGAAACTTTTGCTATTGATATTAATGCAAAGCTCGATAGGTAATATGCATGTTGAAAATAAGACAACAAATAACTCATCTTCCTACTAATAGGGTACTTCTAATTTGTAGTTTCTGAAGTACTTGTTATATTGCGCAGGACTTTGATGAATCAAATTCTGGAGAAAGGGCATAGCAGGGTGCCAGTCTATTATGAAGAAGAAACCAACATTATTGGTCTTATCCTGGTAAACTTGTTAATCATCTCACCGTCAAATTATGATCTCAATATATCCCATGACCTGAATTCTTGTACTTATGAAAGTACCCAAGCCCACCGCTAGTAAATATTGTCTTTTTTAGGCTTCCCCTCAAGGTTTTTAAAATGCTTCTCCTAGGGAGAGGGTTTCACACCCTTATAAAGAATGCTTCGTTCTACTCCTCAACCGATGTGAGATCTCACAATTCATCCCCATTCGGGACCCAACATCCTCGCTGGCACTCGTTCCCTTCTCCAATCGATGTGGGACCCCCCAATCCACCCCCTTTGGGGCTCAACGTCCTTGCTGGCACAATGCCTCTTGTCCACTCCCTTCGGGACTCAACCTCCTTGCTGGCACATCGCTCGGTGTTTGACTTTGATACCATTTGTAACAGCCCAAGCCCACCGCTAGTAGATATTTCCTTTTTGGGCTTTACCTTTCGGGCTTTCCCTCAAGATTTTTAAAACACATCTGCTAGGGAGAGGTTTCAACGCCCAAGATAACTAAGATGGGATCTCACGATTTATGAGTAATTAGTATCCGATTCAAGGATCAAAAGTGAAAATTCTGGAATAATATTTTGTTTTTATGTTCGGTCAAAATACATCAGTAGAACAGTATAATTTACTTTCGTATATACAGTGACAAAACTTCAAGCTTTTGTCGAACAAATTTGTGATTGGTTTTGGCCTCTGCAAAACTTATGTAGATTTTATGAATATCCATTTTACCTATTCACTTTGATGCTAAGCTGGAGGCTTTACTCCCATTTTTATCTACCAACAAGCACACTCTTTGGCAAATTTCAATTAACATCCCAACCATATCTGTATTCTTTAGTCTCCACCTTTTCCGTAATGCAGCTATCCTCCCTAGCAAAAGGTCATTTTCCCTTTCTTTTAATACTTTTGTTTTCATGTATTAGGTTAAAAATTTGCTTACAATCCACCCAGACGATGAAGTTCCAGTAAAGAGTGTGACCATTCGAAGGATTCCTCGGTAAGTCGGTCGCAGAAAAAACATTCTTGTTTCAGATTCGACCGTTCAAATTCTAGTGTCACTCTGATCTTAGATAATTCTGTTACAGGGTTCCTGAAACTATGCCATTATATGACATTTTGAATGAGTTCCAGAAAGGTCATAGCCACATGGCCATTGTTGTTAAACAGTGCAACAAAATGAACGGAAAAGCTGATGACAAACTGGGCGACGGTACGTGCCTCTGTGTTCGTTATTCACGGATTAGGCTGTTCGGGTTTCAGAATCTGGTTTTGATGGTATTATATTAATTGAAATGCTATCTCAAATAGATTCCCAGAGAGATGTTAAAATTGATGTGGATGGTGAAAAGCCCCCACAAGAAAAAACTTTGAAGAACAAGAGACCACTTCAGAAGTGGAAAAGCTTTCCCACCACAAACAATTCATTCCGGAGTGGCTCTAGAAGCAAGAAATGGACAAAGGATATGTACTCTGATATCCTGCAGATAGATGGAAGCCCTCTTCCTAAGCTTGCTGAGGAAGAAGAAGCTGTCGGTGTCATAACGATGGAAGATGTCATTGAAGAACTTTTGCAGGTACTAACTGCTCATTCTACACATAATATAGTTGTTAGTTTTCGACACAGGACTGTTTTTTCATGTTGACATTTTTTTCACAGGAGGAGATCTTCGACGAGACTGATCATCATTATGAGGACTCCTGATAGTGATTAATCGAGGAATAGTTCGTTATTTTATGCACACATAGGTAATCACGAAAATATTTGTTAAATTTGTTGATGTTCTTAATAGATTTCGAACCCATAAAACTCGAATCGAAGCTTTTGAGAGTTAAGAAGTAGAGAAGTTTGTGTCGTAGTAGTACCACCAGAGAATGAGTTTGTTAGACGCTTAAGAGCTGAAAGATAATCTCAAAGTAGGAAGAAGGGGAAACACAAATTTTCAGATTGTATATAGCCAACTTTGAAGAATTTTTGTTGGATGTGCTACTCAACTATGGTTAAGTTCCCATTTGTGCTCGGTTTAACTTTGTTCTAATCTAGCTCCTTTACTTAATTCGTAACTTATAATCGACGTTAAGATGTGCATAGCATCTCAACACTACCACAAGACTCCTCAACGTCGAGCGATGATTCTGATGTTATTCCATAGGGTTTCTTAGTAAATTGTTGTGACGAGGGACAAATTTTTGGCCTGTTTTGAGGGTTACTTTATTTGGGTAAACCAAGCAATGATTATTGCCGTGCGCTTAGAAGTAGCCATAGTTGTGATTTCATGAAGGTTAGCCATAGTTGTGATTTCTTGAAGGTGATATGGAGCGTGAAGTGAGGATATTTGTAATCTCCACGTTATAATATAACTTGCAGTTGCAGAAGACGGGACATTTGAAACAAAAAACAACTTTTAACTAGGGCATTTGATTGTAATAGAACCTACCGTTGTTGTAGACGAGACATTCAAAACAAAAACACACTGGCTTCAAAATGGGACATTCGATTATAATAGAACCTATAGTTGTAGAAGACGGGACATTCAAAACAAAACACACTGGCTTCTAATCAGGACATTCGATTATAATAGAACCTACAGTTGCAAAAGACGGGACATTCAAAACAAAAACACACTGCCTTCTAACTGGGACATTCGATTATAATAGAACCTATAGTTGTAGAAGACAAGACATTTGATTGTAATAGAGCCTACAATTGTAGAAGACGGGACATTGGAAACAAAAACACATTGGCTTCTAATTGGAACATTCGTTTATAATAACCTACAATTGCAGAAGACGGAACATTCGAAACAAAGACACACTGGCTTCTAACTGGGGCATTCGATTACAATAACCTACAATTTTAGAAGACAGGACATTTGAAACAAAAACACACCGGCTTCTAACCGTGACATTCAATTATAATAGAACCTACAGTTGCAGAAGACGAGACATTCAAAACAAAAACACACTGCCTTCTAACCGAGACATTCGATTATAATAGAACCTATAGTTGTAGAAGACAGGACATTCGATTGTAATAGAGCCTACAATTGCAGAAGACGGGACATTGGAAATAGTTGTAGAAGACAGGACATTCGATTGTAATAGAGCCTACAATTGCAGAAGACGGGACATTGGAAACAAAAACACATTGGCTTCTAATTGGAACATTTGTTTATAATAACCTACAATTGTAGAAGACGGAACATTCGAAACAAAGACACACTGGCTTCTAATTGGGGCATTCGATTACAATAACCTACAATTTCAGAAGACAAGACATTTGAAACAAAAACACACCGGCTTCTAACCGCGATTACAATAACCTACAATTTCAGAAGACAAGANCGGGACATTCAAAACAAAAACACACTGCCTTCTAACCGAGACATTCGATTATAATAGAACCTATAGTTGTAGAAGACAGGACATTCGATTGTAATAGAGCCTACAATTGCAGAAGACGGGACATTGGAAATAGTTGTAGAAGACAGGACATTCGATTGTAATAGAGCCTACAATTGCAGAAGACGGGACATTGGAAACAAAAACACATTGGCTTCTAATTGGAACATTTGTTTATAATAACCTACAATTGTAGAAGACGGAACATTCGAAACAAAGACACACTGGCTTCTAATTGGGGCATTCGATTACAATAACCTACAATTTCAGAAGACAAGACATTTGAAACAAAAACACACCGGCTTCTAACCGTGACATTCAATTATAATAGAACCTACAGTTGCAGAAGACGGGACATTCAAAACAAAAACACACTGCCTTCTAACCGAGACATTCGATTATAATAGAACCTATAGTTGTAGAAGACAGGACATTCGATTGTAATAGAGCCTACAATTGCAGAAGACGGGACATTGGAAACAAAAACACATTGGCTTCTAATTGGAACATTTGTTTATAATAACCTACAATTGTAGAAGACGGAACATTCGAAACAAAGACACACTGGCTTCTAATTGGGGCATTCGATTACAATAACCTACAATTTCAGAAGACAAGACATTTGAAACAAAAACACACCGGCTTCTAACCGGGACATTCAATTATAATAGAACCTACCGTTGCAAAAGACAGGGCATTCGAAACAAGAACACACGGGCTTCTAACTTTATTTCCCTCAAATATGTACCATAGCAGTAGGGGTAACAGCGCTTGTTAAAGAATTCTCTAAACAAAACCTAAGTTTGAAGGAAATTTTGTTCCCAAACAGAGACAGAACGAGAGAAGAGTGGACAAAAAAAATCATGTAGTTTATGTTTTAAGGGATAAATTCTACATTTCATTTCATTTTCCTATCAGTAGCGTTTCCCCATTCAATTCTTTGTGCTTTGGGAAACATACTACTAAGTACCATAATCGTATTTTGAGTTACCTTTTCCCTTGCTTTCACTGCATAGGAGGGGCTCTGTAGTATGCAGGCATTGTTGCAGGAAAGAACATTTGCCTCACTCCTTCAGCCTTGATTATGGGAAAAATTATGCCTGCTGCTCCCTGTGGTATTCAAAGTCGAGATATAATCGACAAACGAGTTAGAAAATGCTCATGGAGAATGTAAGTTGATATGCAGATGACAAGAAATGTGTACCGTAATCAACCGAACTCCGATCCATATACGCTTAGGCGAAGGGAATGGGATTAGCAACCGAGTGACACCGTATATAGCCACAGCAAAGAAGTGACAGAACAGGCTTAATGGGCGCGGGTTGAGACCGGAAAGAAGAGACACTGGTCCAGAGGAAAACACACCTCCTAGACTCAAATAGTCGAAACAAGCTTCGCGCATTTCCTTCCTGGCCGGGTCGGGTGATGCACAAAACACTTGGTATAAGGCACCTGCCAATGTGTTTATTGTAGATGCCACTGGCTGGAAAGGATGAATAAGAGGCATCATTAGTGTAAGAAAGCTCGAGTGTATATCGAGGTAACTCTATTGGAATGTCGATGATACCTTTCGCAATGTGTAGAAGGATTCGAGATAGTTGCACAAGGCATCGGCATCGTTCAAATTTGAAAGGGGTCGAAGTAGGTCTCGTAGCACGACGATATCGGCAAGAGCAACGGTCATACCTCCACCGGTTAAAGGATGTCGCATGTTGAATGCATCACCCAAGAGAAGTGCTCCTGGTGTGGGATGTGGGGCTGCTGGCATGCTTCTGTTTGTTGTGCTTTTTATGTTTCCGTTCTCAACTGAAGCTATGAAGGCGGTCTGCAACTCCGGCGGGAGCTGGAATACAAAGTTCTTAATCAACAAGCAAGCCAAAAGAACAGATTCTTGCAATTCTAGGTGCCAAAACAACCAAATCTGTAACCGCCTAAGCCCACTGCTAACAAATATTGTCCTCTTTAGACTTTCCTTTCAAACTTCCCTTCAAAATTTTTAAAACGCGTCTTCTAGAGAGAGGTTTGCACACCCTTATAAAGAATGTTTCATTCTCCTTCCTAACCGATGTGGGATCTCACAATCCACCCCCCTTCAGGGCCCAGCGTCCTCTCTGGCACTCGTTCCCTTCTCCAATCGATATGAGACCCCCAAATCCACCCCCTTTAGGGCCCAACATCCTTGCTAGCACAGTGCCTCTGTCCACCCCCCTTCGGGTCTTAGCCTCCTTGCTTACACATCGTTTGACGTCTGACTCTGATACCATTTGTAACTGCCCAAGCCCACCACTAAAAAATATTGTTTTCCCCTCAAGATTTTTAAAACGCGTCTTCTAGGGAGAGGTTTGCACACCCTTATAAAGAATGTTTCGTTTTCCTCCTCAACCGATGTGAGATCTCACAAAATCATACCCAAGTTGAGAAACTAGCAAGAGAAATCGACGTGTAAAGGTACCTGAGGAGCCACAACGGTTTTCAAGTAGCGTGCCATGTCACCGTTAGCCACAGAAGGCACCTTTTGGCCGGGGATATCGACTAAGCAGCGTATCTCCGTGCTGCTAATCCGGTATAACAAGATAGGCGATGGGTCAGCAAGCACAACATGTCCATGATTTTCAAGGGGCAGCTTACAGTTCTCCAGGACCAAACCAACAAAGCATGAGGGAATATCAATCTACAGGAAAGGTCACAACAATGTTTTCAGTGAACATCAACAACAACGGGGAACTTGTTTACTTCACCAATACATTCCAAACTAATTACCTGAGGTTTGCAGAGGTTGCGACGCAAATTCGAAAAGCCGCCATCACAAACAATGGTGAGGGGAGCATAAGATGTCAACTCTTGGCCATTCTTGGTTTTATATTGCACACCTTTCACATTCCCATCTTCTTCAACTATGGAAGTTACAGTCCCTTGTTCCAGTTTTACACTGAGAAAATATCAAAATAGAAACAGATTGATGAACCAAACTATGCATATATTAGGCGACAAAATGAAAACAATGAGCAAATTTGATAAGGATCACGGTGTTCCAAATGTTCTAACTGGATCTATTACACGATTCAAGGCTAAGAAGATTCAACAAGTATTCATTCTTCATCTATAAAATTAGATAAACTCAGTTCAACCATTATTTAATGTGTTACAAGTTAATTAAATTGAGGAAGGACCATTTAGAGGTTCGAAGGTGAATATTTGCACGGTTGCACTAGCGGATGAAGTTGCTATAAATTGCACTTGATTGACAAGTTGTTAGAAAACTTTATGAAAAGGGTGAGTGACTCTTTTTTTTTTTTTTTGTGGAGTGGGTGTAAATTATGGCCACTAACATTTGAAGGGTTGAAAGTTTCTTTCGTGGAGAGACTATAAATACCTACAAATTATAAAAGAGATTTTGATGATGAAATTCATGTCTCAAATTGAGATTTTCTCCCTCAGAAATTCGAGTATCAGAAGTTTCAAACAATTCTTGTGATAGATTGCATCAGAGTCATTCAATCAAGCCTTGAACATGAACATATTTGATTGTAGAGGGACTAAATTTAGAACAATGTTTCAAATCTTGTTTATAGAGATTTTAAGAGCTAATCTAATTAGCCTTTATCTCTTGGTTGATCTAATTTCATCGA